TATATTTCCACAGTGGTTATCATCCTTCTTTATCGATATTATTCACGGTGTCGTGTCGGTACTGTAATAACTAGAAGAGAATCCGTGCTTTCGAAAAGCGGCACGCCGTTATTCCCAAGCGCGACGCAATTTGTAACATCGAAAACTGTTCGGTAATTTACGTTGAAAATCAAATTAACTCCCGTGAATCTAATCTACTCTCTCGCAGCTAGTTCGGTTAACCTAATTTCTTTTCCTTCTTTTTTTTTCTTTTTTTTTTCGTTGACGCTTTACTGGCGCGTGAGCTTTTCGATACACGTCTCTCTCTCTCTCTCTCTCTCTCTCTCTCTCTCTCTCTCTCTTTTTCTCTCTATCTTACTCATTCCATTCTTGAAGCGAGCTTTCATTCTATATAACAGACTTCCGCCTGCAAAGCAAAATATCAAATTTGATGTTGCGTCTCTCGTAAATATTCTCCAAAGATTTTGCATCTCCTTTTAACCTAACCAACCGACAACGGCTGCACATAATATTCGATAGTTAGAGAGAATAATTTTCTGAGATTAATTTTCTCTCTGGGTCTTTCAACGAAACCCCCTTCCCTTCCCCTCCCCAGAATACTCCACCCCTACCCCACCGTGTTGTTTCCATCGTTTATCAAAAAAACAACAATTTATCGATTACATAACTGTCGAATATGATCTAATTAGATTTACAAAACGTTGCTTGTTATTAAAATAATTTTTCAATTTGAATACTTTCTCACATCGTTTTAATATCAATATTCAAACATACGTATTAATAAAAGTATCAAAGGTTACATATATTATATATATATTGTATATACGTGTGCATCGATAACCGATGTATAATAATTACTTAACGGTACTTAAAGAGCGTTAGACCAAAACGACGATACTTTCGAAAGTTTACGTACGAAATCCAACGTACACGAAAATATACATCCTGGAGAGATTCGTTAATGTAAACAAAATAACATGGAGCATTCGGATAGTCAACAGACGCATATTCGATCCACCTGATTTCCGTAAATGGATTATACCCGGATGTTATGAATATTAAGTTACAAATGCGGTTTCCGCGTAGCGTAGTGGATTCGATTCGCACGAAAGTTAATCCATTTGATTGGCGCAAGCATTTGTAATTACATTGATAATAATTGAACATTCACTAATTATTAATATACATAGACATATATATAATATAAAAGTAGTCACGTAATTGTAATAATTCGTATTGACGATTGTTAACAATTTAATAAAAGAACAAAAAGCAAAAAAACATTTCAGTATTTCTCTCACGTGCGAAGATATAAGAATTATTAGAAAGATTTTCGAGAGAGAGAGAGAGAGAGAAAAAAAAATCAAGTTTTCCGAGTGGTGCGAATAAAAGGGACAATCGTAGTGGAGAGTGCGAGTCAGTCGAGAAAAAGAACATAAGAGTGAGTGCAAGGATGCAAAGAGAAAGAGAGAATACAAAAGGGAAAAAAGAAAATAGAGAAAATAGCAAAAAGAAAAAAAAAGAAAAGGAATAAAACGAAAGTAGAAGAAGAAGAAGGAAAAATAAAAAAAAGATGTAGGAGTAAAAGTAAAAGAAGAAGAAAGCAAAAAGCTTCTTCCTTCGTTAGGAAGAGGCAGGCAGGCAGGCAGGCAGGCAGGCAGGCAGGCAAGCAAGCAAGCAAGCAGGAAGGGCACCTTTCGGCAGGATATATGAGCACGAAAGAAAAAAGCGTCGTTACCGGAGGCTCATTAACGGGAACTACTCCCAAGACAACCCCTAGCAACACCTTCGGTTCCTGTCTGCAACCAGAAGAGTGAGAACCTTCTACCTTTCTCATCCTCTCTCTCTCTCTCTCACCCTACCCTTTTCATCCCTTCTACCTTCTTTCCTTTCCGGCGGCCCCATTTGCTACTTCGTTCCTAGGTTCGAGCGAGAAACGTACAGAGGTCCGATACTAATTACTCCCCACCCCCGTATCCTTTCCTCTCCCTTTCCTGTCCCCCCACATCTCCCGTCTCACTCTTTTTCCACCTACTTTTCGCACTTCCTCTCGAGAAACCTCTTCTTTGTCGTCGTAGTTTTACCAGAAAGACCCCCCCCCCCACATAATATCGATAGACGCTCACCACTCCAACGCGTACTTTTTTTTATTTTTCTATTTCTATTTCTTTTTCTTTTCTTTTCTCTTCGGACGTTCGCGCTTCTTTCTTTTACGCCTGCGAGACTTGGACACGAGTCAAATCCACTTTAAACTCTTTCTCTCTCCCTCCTCTTCCACTTTACCCTTCTACCACTCACTCTCTTTCTCTCTCTCTCTCTCTCTCTTTTTTTTCTCTCATTGTGTATCTAGTCAATCGTTAACTTTTACTTTGTAAATTTTTGTTTGCGTACACGTTAAACGACTAATAAAATGTTTCTTGTGCGTTGTTTTTGTTTTTCTTTTATCGAAAAAGTATCATAATATCTTCGTAGAGAAGAAACACTGGTTATTAATTTATCATCACTTTCCCTGTTCGAAGATTTTATTAGATCAAATAGATAAATGAGAGATATTACAGATGATCAACGAGATAAACGTTCGTTTAAGAATCACTCTATCCTCTTTATCTCTCTTTTATATTCTCTTTTTCCCTGAAAAACCCTTTGTTGTTTGTAATCCTCGAAATCTTGACGTTAGATTTAAAAATAAATCGCTGTGAAAAAAAATAGAAGAAAAAAAGTGAAATCCTCGATGGAACAACCCCTTTTTGTACGACAACATTATCGTTGAAGAGAGTGGCACTTGACCAAAAGGGTTGAAAGGGATTAAATTGCGAGGGAGTATAGAAAGAAAGAGAGAGAGAGAGAGAGAGAGAGAGAGAGAGAGAGAATGATATATCAAAGAACCGGCGTCGAAATTTTGAGGTGTTCGCCACTTGAACGTCTTCCTCTCGTACGGAAAGCGTACGTCACACTGGAGGGTTAGTCGTCCCCAAGTTCGGTAGGGTGCTGTAGGGAATAATTAATGAGAGGGTGAGAATATCTTCTTCTCTGCGAACATACGTTTAACGATCCTCCCCCACCCCCATCGTCGAAGTAGGAAACGTCAGTGAAAGAGAGAGAGAGAGAGAGGTAAAAGCTTGAAAGATATCCATGGGGGTGGAGAGGGATAAGGTTCTATATGTATACCATCTACAGATGTGCACCATCGTACGAGCACGTACCTCTATAATTGTTGGCGTGGCTCGAGGACAACCCTTAACGTTCCCGTCACCGTCCAATCCCTTCTCACGTTTCCCAGAACCTTTACCTCCCCTCTTCCACCTTTCCTTCCTCCTTCACATTCCACATCTGATGTCGTTTAAATTCGATCTCTCCATGAGAAACTCTTATAATCAAATTTTTCATTACTAGCCCCTTCCTCCCCAAATCCCCCACCCCCCTTTTAAATTGTCGATAAATTTCTACATCGTTGATTCCGATAATTTCTCTTATAAAATCGTATTTTTTTTATAATGAGATAGAAAATAATACTATGATTAATATTATTGTATGTAAACGAAACACAAATCGATGATCAATGGTGTGCGTAAGAAGAAATAAAAAGAGAAAGAAAAAAGATGAAACGTTGTTCTCGTAAAACGTAATCGATTTAATTTGTTCACGCGTTTGAAACGGTAAAATTTCATCGCTTGGAAATAACGTTCTCTTCTCTTAAAAGTTCGATTTCTTTCTCTCTCTCTCTCTCTCTCTCTCTCTCTTTCTCTCTCTCTCTCTCTCTCTCTCTTTCTCTCTCTCTCTCTCTCTCTCTCTTTCTCTCTCTTTCTCTCTTCTACTCTTCCTCTTCGAATTTTCATAAGGCAATAATCATTACATCGTGAACCGCTGCTAGATAACGGCAACGTAATAGTGGCTTGTCAATATGAAATCCCTGTATTTGCGGATTTGCTTAGTCGCATTGATAACAATCGTGATCCCATGATTCATTTATAATCTGATGCACCTATGTGCATGACGTACCTATGTAATACGTCATGCTCGATGATACCGCATTATATCGAAAATTGAGCTTAACAAATTGTTACGATGGAGATACTATTCTTAAAAATGTCATCGATTCCGTCACAATTCCTATTACACGTCAATTATTATTATCCGATGATAATTCAATTGAAAATTAATTCCACTATCAAAACTACTACTACTATTACTCTACTATCCTTTTTTTTTTTAAACGTTTCACAGAGATTTTCCATGATTAGACACGGACGTTATGACGGAATTAACGAGCCCTGTCGTTCTCTGGTAAAAGAAAAAAAGAAATACAAATGTAACGAAAGCAAATTTCGCAGCTTTAGAAATGTTGGGTGAAAAAAAAAGGAGGGAAAGAAAAAAAAAGAAAAAAAGAAAAAAAAGAATAGGAAAGAACCGTTTGGCGAGATCGTGAACGGCTTAAAATGTTCGCAATTGCTTCTTTCCTGCGCGCACATATCGAGCTTAACCATAGACGCGACGATATTCTGTACGCTTCAATGCTTTTTACGATGCATAGTCCCTGAGAGTTGGATCGTTCGTACATGGCATTTTACGGTTAACTGGTACTTCGACCGTAATATACGATTCTTAAGGCCGTGTTCAAGATCTCGAAAGTGCAATAGCTATTATATGAAACGTTGTTAAGTTTTCAAGAGTTCGCCGTTTGAATATTAATGCAACGAACGAACGTTGAATCCTCTCCCCACCCACCCAGCCTCCCCCCACCCCGTAACTAAGGGACGAACTTTTCGCTTTTCCATGTACGCTAGGTGGTACTATTTTAAAACACTTAAACCTAACACTTGTTTTTTTCTAAAGTATTAGGCCTTTTTTTTTTTTTTTCTTTTTAGACTAAACGTACAATAAAATTATGAAACGTTTAAATAAATAATAAATTATTTGTGCATTTGTGTGTTGTATCGTTGTCGTCAAAATTATACTATCATATTATATACAACATTATTTTCTTCTTCTTCTGTTTTCAGGTCTCATGGATACGTAAAAAGGATTTACATATACTAACGTCGTCGGTTCACACATACACGGGAGACGCGAGATTTTCCGTTAAACATCCAGAATCTTCGGACGAGTGGACGTTGAAGATTGATTACGTGCAACCACGCGATGCAGGAATTTACGAGTGCCAGGTCAACACCGAGCCTAAAATGAACTTAGCCTTCACGCTGAGAGTCGAAGGTAAAATTTACTTTACCGATGAATATTTTCTTTTCTACGCGACGCAAAAATAAAATAAAAGAAAGAGAGGGAGAGAGAGAAAGATCAAAATAAAAAAAAAGTAAAAGAAATGGAGTAGAGAAGGGGGGGAGGGTTAGAAAAAAAGACAAAATAAAAAGAGAAAAGAAAGACAGCATAGAATGAATAAACAAAATCGCAAGTCCGTTTGATAAACAATCGTGCGCGCGCAATTCTGAAAAATAAAAAAATAAAAATAAAAATAAAAATAAAAAAGACCGGCTTTTTTTCGTGGTATATAACACACACACACACACACACCTTTGAGAATTATCGCGTTATTTTTCGACGCGTAAAAATAATATAATGATTTATGGCTCATTTGCAAACGGAACACGCTCTCGTCCTACCCCCCAACCCCCCTCCACCACTCCACGATCCTAACCAAAACTAAACGCCTAGCGTTGTTTTACCTCAACGTCGTGTTACTACTTTTGCCAACGCATAATAATATGCAAGTACGTATAAAGTTCATGAAAAGGGGGAATTATGCGGGATCCGCGATGACCCGTCCGTTTCTCTGCTAAACAAAAAACAAAAAAGAAATAAAAAGTACGTATGATATACGCGAATCCTGTATGGGATTCCAAACGTAGGTTTGGAATACAGATAGATGACATATGCTCGCTTTTGTAGGTGCTTATCATTTGAGTCATGAAAATTGACGCCACACGCGTTTTCCATACACATGTATTTATGTATGTATGTATGTATGTACATTTACATCAAAGAAGACCCAATATTTTGTGTACCCGACGTCGTAAGCTTGATTAACCCGGTCGCATATGTTCCCGATATTCTTTTTTCTTTTTTCTTTTTTATTCCACCCTCTCCTATTTTCAACTCCTCTTTTCTACCATCCTCATTTTTTGCGTTAACGTGAATGCACACATGCACACACACACATGTATATGTATAAATATATATATAGAGAGAGTAGTTTCGGTAGCTTTTCAACGATTCTTTCGATCAACAGTAGAAATCCCAATGCGAAATATTATTCATTGTTCGATCTTTCACGCGATTATATCACAGACGCGATAATAATTCGATCATTTTGTATCCGCAAGAATAATTGCACGTTGCTAGTAGAAGGAATTCCTTTGGAATTTATGATCCTTCGAATGCAATCGAATGCACTACTTTCTATGCGAGAGATTCGAAATGAACGATGCCAAAATGCGATTTGGTAGGAAGATGATCATCATCTCTATACACACACATATACACACAGTGTATCTACGTAGACGATACATATGTACGTACATACGAAATAACAACTTTAATTAACCGTGATCAATTACCTCTAATCGCGATGCGTTACACGTTCGATCAGGTTCGTAACTAGATCAGCTTGAAACTTTAGATCCTAGAAAAGACCAATTTTATTGCTCGATTCAACAATACGATCGGAATCTCGTCGGAAATGACGTTCGTTCTTTGAATCCCACCCCTTCGTCTCGTCTCGTCTCTCTCTCTCTCTCTATATATATCTTTCTCTCTTTCTATAGAACACAATTTTATTTTCGTTTCGCTCGTTTCGCGAACGTAGATCCCAAGTTGTTCGCTGCGCTGATATGCTAGCTAGCTAGCTTGCTTGCTTGCTTGGTCGGTTGGTTGCTTGTTTGTTTGTTTGCTTTCTTTCTTTCTTTCTTGCTTATGCTATGGTAGTTTCCGAGCCCCCCCGGCCCCCTTGAGAGTTCGACGAAATCGATTAACTCGCTATCTTTTCTGTCCTCCCATTCCAGAAAGTGCCCCTGTCCCTGCCACCACTGCACCGAACTCCATCCGACGGACATTCAACTCAGGTTAGAATCACGCAAGAACGGACTCCTTTTCCAGGCTGTCGATTTCTCGTAGCTTTAGTTTTCATCATTTATTTTTTTTTCTTTTTTTCTTTTTTTTTTCTACGTTTCCATCTATGTGTATCAGTCTCTTTTTTTTTTTTTATTCTTTTCATCCATCTCTACCTTTATCTATCTATCTATTTGTCTATATATCTTGATGTGATTTTTCTCTATATCTAGTTTGCTCGTTAATGGTATATAGGTATACTTATATAAAATACGCTTTCGCATATATATATAGATATATGAATTAGCACGCACATCACGCTTTATTTATTCTTTTAAAATATCATCTAATAAAATAAATGAGCTCACGTGGAATGTTAACGGTAAGAGCGATTTATTTATGAAAATGAAAAGAAATCGTAGAATTATAATCGATTTTTAGAGAGTCAATTACTCGCACGCTCAATTAAAATCCTAATTAGTTTTTAGATATATTTTTTTGATGTGACTCAAACAATGAGTCATATTCGTTTACGTTGTTCAATGTTTTTCATTGAAACATGGCGAATAAACTCAATAGAAATAAAAAGAAAAGAAAAACAATGAGAATTCGATAACGAAAATTAATAGGACGAAAGGTGTATTGAAATAACGTCGAGAAAAATTTTAAAATTCGTAAATAATCATTGCGCGAATAAAATATACGAAAGGAATAATATTTAACGGGGAAACAACAATCTCTGACTGTGCATTGCAGCTGCTCAAGCAAAGATTCTGGGACAAGAGGACGTCTACGTGAAAAAGGGTAGTACGATAAGCCTCACGTGCACTGTTAATGTGCAAAGTACACCCCCAAGCAGCGTTGCGTGGCGTCACGGTGGAGCCGTAGTGGATTTCGACAGTCCCAGGTATTACGAATCCGTTGAAAATTAGTTCTAACTATTTAAACGTGAGAACTTTTCTTATTATACATACAAAACAAACAAAAATATATATTATCTCATCAAATTGTGTATTAAGAAAGAATATAGAGATTTTTATAAATAACATTTATTTATATTTGTTTTCTCGTTTATAAAAATATCCTTCTCGTTAAAGTATACGAAAGAACGAGAGAGAGAGAGAGAGAGAGAGAGAGAGAGAGAGAGAGAGAATGAAAGAGTGTAAGAAAAAAGAGGGACAAAAAAAAAAAAGAAAAGGATTAATTCAAAGTGAGCTCACGAAAAGTATCAAAGTATCTTTGTTAATTCAGCTTTCACCACAGGGGCGGGATATCCTTGGAGACCGAGAAAACTGAAAGCGGCACGACTAGCAGACTTCTCGTAACACAGGCAAGATTGACCGACAGTGGAAATTACACATGCACTCCTAGCAACGCGAATCCTGCTAGCGTTATGGTACACGTTCTCAACGGTAAGCTACCTTATTTTTTATATATATACATACTCTTTTATCTTTTCATTATATATATACCTGTACGTATCAAAAAGAAAAGGATTTAATCTCGAATACATACATGCATATCTCGTATATCTAAAAATATTTTTTGATAAATAACCGGGAAAGAGAAAGAGAGAGAGAGAGAGAAACAACAACGTATTCGTTTTGTTTGATTATGTTCTTGAGCACTGACAACTCGGAATGTCGCGCATACATTTTTAAAGTTACGTAGCAGCTCCATTTAATCTCAACATATTACTGATCCTCGCATTCAAGAACGTTAAATGAAAAACAGCGGATAAGAGCAGAGGTGGGGGGAAGGAAAAAAAAAAAAGGTAGGACTCGGTAAATAGAAAGACCCACCCGTAGACGAGAAGAATGAAAGACAGAATATGGTTCAAACGGAAAGTCCACCCCGTCATTATGGGTCTTCCTTTTCCCCTTGCCCCTTTCCCGATTTTCATCCCTCTCCCTCTCTCTCTCTCTCTCTTTCTGCATTTTCTCGTTTATCCACATTTATTTTCACCGTCACATCGTTTAACTGTTTTCTCTATTGAAATGTCTTTCAAATCCAACGAGCATGAAACTGTAAATATTTCTTTTTTTTTTTGCTGTTTCTTTTTCTTTTTCTTTTTGTTTCCGAGCAAATTAATGCTCCGGATGTTGGTTGACAAAAGAGAAATGCAACAGGATACACGACGGACGCACCCGTAATAATAGTGCCATCATTAAGGTTCGATAAACTCGGGAGAGAAAAAAAATGCGAGTACCACGGCAAAGGGAATTTCATTTCCGCGCGTCGGGTTAAGTGTCTTTTTCAAAATAAATCAAGAGAGAGAAAGAGAGAGAGAGAGAGAGGATGGGAGGGAGAAATAAATAATGATTTAAAAAACTACCAAAGAGACATGAAAAATTTCTCATCCATTTTTTATTATTACGTACAAAATATCATTACTCGAAAATATGAAAATTTCAATTTTTAATTGAACCGAATTATCATTAATAAGGGAACAATGGATAAACAACACTATGTCGCTCGTGTTAACTGCGAAACGGAAAGAAAATCTTCACGGAAAATAATCAAAGGTGGAGAAAAGAGGGACGTAGAAAGTATATAACTAAATTCGCAAAAGAGTCTTCTTCTTCTGCCTATAAACGAAACTTTGATGATCTTCCACGAGTAGGACAATTTGAAAGTTGAAGAGGCAAGTTTCTCTTTGCTCTCGATGATTATTCGACAAATTCTCTCCCTCTCTCTTTCTCTCTCTCTCTCTCCTTGTATAATAATGGTTGATATGGGAGCCGCGGATCTCTCTTCCAATGGGGGTGTGGGGGGAGGGGGATGAAACTTTCAACGGGGTCCTACAAGTTGCTAACGTGCCACGAAGTATGACAATTCAAAAGGAAAACTATAGCTGGACCGGTTGGTTGTTCATTCATCAAGCATTGAAATTTCCTTCGTTGCTGCTGCTACTACATTTGACGTGGCCTTATATATTCGGGGTCCGTATATTGGGTCAGTGCCAAGTTATTCGGGCTTGGAGAACTCTCGCGATAACACGCGCAATATCTTGTTCTGCAAGTTCGACATTCCGGCCCTGTCGATCGGACACGGCTCGTTTGCCAAGAACATGAGCTGATGTTACGCCAAGGGAGAAGATCTCTAACGATAAGAGAAGAAGAAGAAAGAGAGAGAGAGAGAGAGAGAGAGAGAGAGAGAGAGAGAGAGAGATAGAGAGAGAGAGAGAGAGAGAGAGAGAGAGAGAGAGTTGTTTCGCGCTCGAACGAAGATACGTATAGAATGGGGTTGGGGGCGGATATTTCTTGATCGTAATCTCAATAAGGGGGGAAAAAACAGTAATCTTACGCGTCAAATAATCTTCTATCATTAAATCACGATATTTGTTTGGTTATATTGCAAACTAGTTAAATGGTTGATAAAATTTACAGAGAGATAGTGTCGCGTATTATTAAATATTTAATAATCCTAATTTGTGTTTGTTTTCCATTACTTATTAACGGTTCGTAACAAAAGAAGAAGACCAGTGTATTAGTAGATAGCGTACTCTGTGTATGCACAATATATTCCGTCGGACGATATTGCTTTTCACAGAATAAAGCAATTGTTCTACTAATTGCAACATAATACCTTCTCATTAGATCTATTTTCTATGAACTCGGACGGGAAAGATCACGTAACCTAACACGTGATATCCCCCTTCACCCCAGTGGAATACTACCACCACCGCGTGAGTGAGTGAGTGCGTGCGTGCGTATTGCATGCCTCGATGGAAGTTAATGCACGGCAGTTCGTCTGCATAATTAATTCACAGGTAACACCGTTCACCCGAATCGTCCGAACCCCGACTGTACGTACACCCACGCACGTACGCACGTACGTACGCACATACACCATCAAAACAACTAAACCGAACCAACCGATCAACCGATCCTCTACCCGTGCCGTATTGGTCATCTCTGTTATTTCAAACACAGCTGATTACTCCGCGAAATTGACCGCAAATTTCGATTATTTCGCGATAAACTTTGGTTTATCCGAGAACCAACCCGCCACCGCTTGCACACGCTCGCCTCTCCTAATAATGCAATTACTGAAAACTCTCTCGGTTTTAGTTTGCTTTCGTTATCAACCCTTTTTGCTTGGTACTCGTCGCCATTTTTCGAGACAACGAACGGATTTTCTCGAAATAAGCCACCGAAGTTACGACTATTTCATTTTAATCGTTAACCTGATTGTTTTGAAACAACGAAATCTAATCGATGCAGTTTTATCGATCTTGTTTATGATTATACAATTACTTGCTCTCTCTCCCTCTCTCTCTCATTCTGTTCATTCCTAAAATCTCTTGTCGATACTTTTCAATTCAACCTACACCAATATATACATAAATGTTCGAAAATCTTATTTTATCAAATTGATGAAATTTTTTCAAATATTGAAATTCATTCGAATAACAAAAAGAAACCCCTTATCGAACTGTCTTATAAGAAATGAATTAAATTTACATATATGCATAATATACTACGATAGATTGTTTAACTACGAAAAGAATCGGTATTATAAATTGTTTGTTTTCTCGATGATGTTTCAGGCGAACATCCAGCAGCCATGCAACACGGTGGTAGTTGCGGCATATTCTGTTCCGTACCGATCATCCTTCTAACCGGTTCTACTCTTCTGATCTCGAACCTGCTAAGGTGAGCGGTCCCCCTTGTTGTGTGAAACATCGAAGCTAAACAAGATATTAGATATTAGAAATGAAGAATCGTCCTAAAAGAAAAAAAAAAAAAAGAAAAAAAAAAGAATATTATAAGGGAAAAATAACTACGAGAGTGTTTAAATCGATATCGAATAATGATGATGATGATGATGATGATAATAATAATAATAATAATAATAATGAAGAAGAAGAAGAAGAAGAGGAAAAGAAAAAAAAAATAAGAAAAGAAATAAAATAAGAAAAAAAACCAAAGTATAATCAAAAAATAACATTAATCGAATCGAGAATAGAGAAGAGATCAGATGTGATTCGAAAGACAATTTCGAATGTGCGATTCACGGATATACGGGAGACAAAAATAAATAACGCGCACACGAGTGATTTGCTATGACAACAATCTAAAGGATACGTAATTTTAGTGACAACAAATTCATACTTACGAATGTAATATCGTATTACAGAATCAATAGTCGGACTAGGAACGAAACCTAACGAACGAATTCAAAACCCTAATTCTACGAAACGAGATCGTAACTGTCTGTACGTGTGTTGTTGGGGAAGAAAAAGGGAATATATCGAAGATATTCCCTTTTTTACTATTCATCTATTCAAATATTCCTTTTATCATCGAATCAATTCCAATACTCTAATAAGGGAAAATTTGGGAATTATAATGATTCGTTAAGAATCGTGTGGTGTTTCTAATTTAATTATCGTCGATGATCGAGATCACATTTATTATCGGCGTAACCTATATTTAAAATAAAAAACAAATCTAGATAGTGGGATAAGTTAAACATTTGTATATATAAAAGCGGATGTTTGGATGTTGTTATGGTTCGACGTAACCTCGATGTACAGACTAAGGCGTTTATATATAAATATACATATAAAAATTATTCGCGAAAAGAAAAAAGAAGGAACGTTCGTTCGTTTCTTAACGTTAAGTTCGAAACTAGCGTTGTATATATATATAACTTATATATCTGATCGATCACATTATCGTAAACGCTCATCGCTTATCGCAGATTATAGTTAAAGTAAGAGAAAATAATCATGCTCGACGATATTCCGTTAATTTTTCTTCCTTTATTTTTTGTTTCCTCTTTTCGATAAAACAATTTTATAATTTTTTTTTTCTCCCCACGCACGTGTTCGCCTAACTATCTATTTCTACATTAATTTGAAAATATGGATTTTTCTTTTCTAATTTCTAAATTATTTCTAAACGTTGAAAACGTTTAAATAGAAAATACGATTGCTGGTTGTTGTGTCGTCTCTAATATTTTACATATCTTCTCTCGTTAAGAACAACGGCCCTTCGATCCGTGGGTTTAAATCGTAAAAATATAAATGTCGAGTTTAAATAGTAGAAATAATCAAAAATCGTAACGAGGTGTTTATAGTTAAAAAAAAAAAAAAAAAAAAAAAAAAAAAAAAAAAAAAAAAAATAAAAGTAAAAGTAAAAGAAAAGAAAAGAAGCGTTTTGAGTTAGTTCTTTTTATGCAAAAATTTTATATTATATCTTCTTTCTTTTTTCTCTTTCTCTCTATTTTTTTTTTGTTTTTCTTCCTTTTTTCCCACGTTCCTGGAATATAAAACGAATAACGCGTCCCCTCTCGAGAGAGTCAAATTTCCGAATCGAATGCGCGCTCGTTCGAGAACTAGATAATCGAATACGTAAACGTAACGTAAAGATAGAACTTAATTATTTGCACTATAGCATATTCATTAGATATATTAACGATTTAAATATAAAATTACCAAGAACGAGAGAGAGAATAAAAAAAGAAAATCAACAAGAACAACAACAAGGACTATCGTAAGGCCTAGAACCATAAGACTACTTTACCTTTAAAATTATATAAATTTTTTATAACCTTGTATCCCGGGGAGAGATTAGAGAACGATGAGAAGAACAAACCAAAAAAGAAATAAACCGTGTGCGAGAACGAAACGGAGATCGAAAGAATGTGCGAATGAAAAACCGGATCGTGATCTATTATAATATTAGTTCGTTGTATAGTTTATGAAAGAAAAAAAAAAGAGAAAAAAAGAAAAAGAAAAAAGAAAAAAAAACATTGAAATTTACGTCGTTGTGAAAGGACAATATCTTTAGAACCAAAAAAGAAAAAGGAAAAACGTAACCCAAAAAGAAAAAAAAAGCACAGAGGGAAAACTTCTTACAAGCGATATCGAACGAGAACTGCGATTGATTGATTGATTGATTGATTGATTGATGGTTGATTTATTGATTGATTGATTGCAGAATGGTGTGATATATTATAACGCTTTTTGGATTTTCTATAATTAAATGATATTTACAAAATATATAATTAATATTGAATGAGATTCAATTTGTTTCGAGTTGAAAGAGTAAGGCATTAACAAAAAAAAAAAAGTGAAAAAAAGGAGAAAAAAAAGCGAGATAACGTTATGCTATTGACGTGTTGCGTGATTATAATAATTGAAAAATGTATATTGCTCGAGGGAAAGTTATTATGAACGAGGATTGTTCGTTTATTTGTTATAATACATAACTTGTTAAAAGAAAAAAGAAAAAAGAGAAAAAGAAAAAGAAAAAGAAAGAACAAGAGAGACAACGAAGATTATTTTATTGGAAATATTACTGATACGAATTGCGCGCGTTTGGTTTTTCTTTTTGTTTTTTTTTTTTTTTTGAAACTTTCTTCGTTGATTTGGATTTTATTTTGTTTTTTTTTTCTTTTTTTTTTTCAAACGATTCACGATAGCAGCTTAATGCGTGGAGGTGTGGTCGGGGGGTGAAGGGGGACAGCGAGAATAACAAAAACAACGGTAGTTTGCGGCCCGTTCTCGCATGAATTTTCGCGCACGAAATAATGACGACGAACGAATGAACGTAGAAAGATATCGAGAGATGAAATAAAATAATAAGAAAAAAAAACACACATCATACACTCACCCGCATGCATACACACACTCGTACACACACACACAAACTAACGTGCAAACAATTATAGCTCAATTGTGACACCTAGCTCATTGATATCTGCGACTCGTATCCTTACCGAAAAAAAAAAGAAAAAAAAAAAATATTGTACACTAATTTAACGAATAAGTCCTAGAAAAAGAAGCATTGTATATATAAAAAAAATAATAATAAGATTCATAATCGACACACACTGTATCACGTTATACGCGAAAAGAGGTCGACGTAAATTTAAAGAAAAAAAAAAGATAAAAAAAAAACCAAAAAATTATGCGAAAACCCAGAGTGCAAGCAGCAGCAGCAGCAGCAGCAGTAGCAGCAGCAAACGAGCAAAAGTGGAATATGAATGATGTTGAAACGAAGGAAGAAAAAGAAGAAGAAGAAGAAGAATAAACATTAAATAAAAAGAAATGGAAATAATATTAGATGAGAGGAAATACGAGGGACAGAAAATTATAATGCGGCGAGGAATATTATACTGTATAAAAAAAAAAAAAGAAAAAAAAAAGTAATCATTGACGTGTGGAAAAACTGTTTGAATAAATGTAATGATTATAAAAGCGAATTTCATTCTTTCTTCGCTACGTCCCTTTATTTTTTTCTTTTTTTACTTTTTTAATCACACCTTTCCCATTTTTCTCTGACAATTTTCTATTTTTACCTCTCTATCTCTCTTTTCCTGTCCGTCTAAAACTCTTTCGATTTCCACAAAATCGTTGCAAACTTGCACGAGGAATATATGCGCGCTTGTGCTTTGTGAACAAGTCCGATATTTCACGAAATTCGAGTCCTGTCGTGTCTCGATTTGTTCGCTGACTGATTCTCTCTCTCTCTCTCTCTCTCTCTCTCTCTCTCTCTTTCTCTGTCTCTCTCTCTCTGTCTCTCGGTTAATTGTCACATCGATGAAGTTCGAAACACGTGTATACAGAATAGATAGTCGTGCGATCCAGCACGCACGTTTCACGTGCCACCGCATAGATAGGCAATGCCTCTGCATTCTGCGCGTTTCAAACTAAATACAAAGCGTTAACCTCTGACAACTGAAAAACAATACCCGGTATACAGGTAACCGGAGTATAAAACAGGAAAAGGATAGTAACTAATAATAGAATATGTTATACATCAAACCGCCACCCCCTTCTGCGAACAATTCGACCTATTAATTGATTCAATTCGTAAATTAATATCAAGTAACAATTAATTATTTTCATATTATAATTTGAAATCGCGTAATGTGATATAATATATACAAGAAATAAATAAAATAAGATAAAGATTAATTAGAAATTTTCATAACAATAATTTTTATCACGATATTACTTTAGAAACTATACCGAAGATTTTCGGACCGGGAAAACAAAAGCTAACTTTTACCAGCATTTTCCGAAAAGAAAGTAATTATATGTTTGCAAATGTAGTATCAACGTACACCTCTCCTCGTCATTCAGCACCTATGGATAACAATGAATCGTTGTCAAACGTCATAATCACGATGAAAATCACGAAGCATTGTCTCTTCGTTACAATGCGGAAGCCCACACGAATTGTATACGTTAAATAATGAAAGACGAGTATTTCGAACCGGAGTTATATTGTTGCTTTTAACTCTGTGAAAATTCATGGATATTTTTCTTTTTTTTCTTTTTTTTTTTTTTTTGCTTTCAACGCAAACACTAGATAACGATTAACAAACACCGCCTGGGTGGAATTGTTTTTTAAATGTACGCGTGGCTTACATTTGCCGTCTTGTTTTCATTATTGTAAAGCGTACTATGAAAAAGAAGACAACAACAACAAAAATACAAAACGACCAAACAAAAATCTCTGAACGTCGATTTTGGTGAGTGCATTTTTTTGAAAAATGCAAGTACCACTACTACTACTATTACTACACACGTATTACACGATAATACTCTCTATACAGTGATTATATCGTCGATAAAAATCAACAACTTATAATACAATATCTCTATTTTCTCACCGAGGATTTTAACAACTGACCGTGATGATAAACAAAAAATCAACGCATCAGAGAAAAACCATAGCTTTTCTTTTTCTTTCCCTCTCTCTCCTCCCTAGCTTTAATTCTTTTTGATTCGAACGAAAAATTGAAGGGGAAAAAAAATAAAATAAAAAGAAGACCCGACCGACCGACCATCCGATGGAAATAAAACGTCAACGTTAGAATCTCAGGAGAAAGAAAAGGAAATGGAAAGCAAGAAAGGGTGGTTGTTTGGGTGGTTGGTGGAATCCTAGGAAGTAGTAGATAACGATCGGCGAACAAAATCGCGCGTGATCGAACGGCAAGTGGGGTGGGTGTGGGACGGGGGGGGGGTTAGTACGGGGAACAGGGGGTTTCTCATGCGACCGATAAAGTATCAGCCGTCTATCCGGTCGTGTTTGTCGATATTTTATCGGTTTAATTGTTTTTCGATAGCCAAGAGCCATTCGAGCTTTTCACGGTGCTGCTACGGTTGAAAGGGGTCAGCGAACCAGTCATAGGGGGTGAGAGAGAGAGAGAGAGAGAAAGAGGGGTTGGGCCCACCCTCTAGAAACCTCTCGCGAGGGGGATCACAAGAGAAGGGGAGAATCGAACATGGATGGAGTAGACGAACGAGAGAGAGAGAGAGAGAGAGAGAGAGAGAGAGAGAGAGAGAAAGAGAGTAGTTACTAGCGCGTTCGATGCTTCGGCTATTCGTTACAACGAAATTGAATCGCACGTTAACGGGGCAAGATGGCAAACACTTTATTGGCAAAACAATTTTTTTTTTCCTAAACCTCCCCTCCCTACCCTCCACACCGACCTCCCTCCCTGAACAGCGGTGGAAAACAGCCAGCACAAAATTAGTCGGTACCCGATCGTCACGGATACCCCAAAATTTGTCCTCAAACTACCCCTAGCTTAAAACTACCTTGCGTTGAACAAAACACAAAAAAAAAGAAAAAAATACCCGTCGCGTTGAAACGAACCGTTTTTGGGTTTTTTTTTCTTCTTTTTTTGTTTTTTTTTGTTCGGGGAAAGAGTTACACATATAACATATACACGGTTACACAATGCTATACGGACAGCATACGCAGGATGAAGTTTCAAGGTAAAAATCCCCTAACTGTCCTGATTCTCTCTCTCTCTCTCTATAAAATTTGATCCTTTCTTTTGGCAACCAGGAAATAATAAAAAGATAAAAAAAAAAAAAGAGCATTAAACGATTCGATTTTATGAATAAACTCGAAAATATACAGTGCTCGCGAGAGCACGCACGAAATACCGATAATCCGTAATAAGTTGATCTTTAATTCGAACTTTGGCAACGAGAGAATAAAAAAGAGATAGAGAGAGAGAGAGAGAGAGAGAGAAAGAGAGAAAGAGAGAAAGAAAGATAGAAACGAAAGATAGAAATACGAGGTATGCGTGAAATTTATCGTCGCTATACGTGGCCACTAACGAATGTGTCCCAGAAGAGCCGAGAAGCAGCTGCCGGACACAATACAGTTTTCCAATTTTCAACTTCCCTCTTTTTCCGTTCGTCTTTCTCTATCTCCTCCTCCCCCTCCCCCTGCCCCCACCCCACCTCCTACTTCCCTCCTACCCCAGCCCCCGCGATTCTATTTCAGTGTCTCTTTTCCTCTCGGAGTAACTAGGTACCTCTTCGATTGGAAGGGCAAAAACCTCGTTCGATTCGTGCTGACCCAAACATCGCTGGGACGCACAAACCATCCCCCTCCCCTTCCTCCTCCTCCTCCTCCTGCTATCAACCACCCACCCATTCACCCACCACCATTTATCGTTCGTTACTCGAGCAATCATAAAGCACGTTGATTCACGGTCTCTCATAAATTTAGTGTTATTTTATCCAGTTACCTTAGCACCGCTTAAGTGCCACCGCCTATCTCTTTCCTCTTTCTACCCAACACCCCTCTCACCCCCTTCTAGCCACCCTTCCACCATCCACTCTTCTTCATCGTAACCGAATCGCAAACCTAGGACTGTTAATCTCTTCCCCCTCCCCCCCCGCCAAAAACTGTCGCACGATATCTCTGCTCACGTAACGCGCATTTTAATCGATTAAAACACACTACCATTACACTGGATGATACTATTAATAAAGTCGAAAAAAAAAAAAACTAGTGATAAGCAACGTACGATAAGTAACGTCGCGTTTTCTAATTTTTTTTTCGTTTTCTTTTTATTCGACGTATATTATTCCGTATATCGAACACGTTTGACTCGTGTACGAGTCAATTATCAATTTTCATTTGAAATCCCTTTCCATCCCACTCTTCAACCCTTTTGCGATGTTTTCTACACTTTCTTTCTATTTGTGTGAGTGTGTGTGTGTGTTTGTGTCTACAAACGACAAAAAAAACGTGGAAATCGTACGTACGTTCTAGAAAAGAATATATTTGTGTTAACTAACAGAGATCGTTTATTCGATTATTAAACGAAATCTTGTTCGTATTGTTTAACGCATTTTCATGTTTTCCATTTTCGTCATCATGGATCAAAATTTAATGCTTGAATCCGTTCGATCGAGGAACTGGTTGGTTGGCTAGCATCGTCACGCATAATCGTGCACCAATTCTGTCCACCACGTTCACGTTCACGTCCACGTCGTCGTCGTCGTCGTCGTCGTCCTAGCCTAGATCGAAAGTTTACGCGAGCGCGTTGTCTTGTTATGCCAACTAAAGGGAAAATCGATATGTTTAATGGTAGCGACAAACTGTGCTGAAACGTTCGTTGTTACACGTACGCTAATTAAAATACGAAAGGATGTTACCGGGAGAATAATAGAAAACAAACAAACAGAGACAGGTAGACAGACAGGTAGACAAACTGACAGACAGGTAGACAGGTAGACAGATAGAGAAAGAGAGAGAGAGAGAGAGAGAGAGATAGAAAGGATTGTTAGTTTCATCATGTAGTAAAAGGGGGAACAATGTACAATTGATTGATACTTTCGATTCAATATAAATATATAAACGATTGAAGTTAACATATATACAGGTAACTCTCCTATAACACCATAGATAAATTCCTAGAACATGCCGTGTTATATGAGAACCGAAGTTCATTTTATTCCTCTCTTCGAGTCATTATTTTAACGTAATTTAATTTTTAAATATGTTATCTCTCCAGTGTTGTAGAAATACAATGCTTTATCAACATTTGTCGCAATTTTTTATCATGTTATAAGAATCCGTTTTGTAGAAGGGTTTTACTAGTATATATAATATATATACAGTTAAAAAAGAAAAAAAGAAAATATCAGTGAAAATAAGAAAGAGGGAAAAGAGAAGGAACTCGATTGAGATAGAAGGAAGATCCTTTTCAGGACAAAATTGCCGGAGCGCCCTCGTGAATTTTATATTCAGGACATTACCATGCCCTGAATTATTTTTCAAGTTTTGGACAAGAGTAGCACAAGGGGTGAGGGTGGGGGGTAGCGAGGGGGATAGTAACTCTTTCCGCACGAGGTTCTCTTGTCGGTACCCTCCCCCCCTGCCCACGCTTCTCGACCCTTTTGGACCAACTGAGTTAAAGAAAGAGAGAGAGAGAGAGAGAGAGAGAGAGAAAGAAAAATTTCACCTTCCATCCTACACGAGGTAGTATATATCTGTCACTTCAGTCGACGAACAAGATGGAGTATAAAACTCAAACCAACGACATTTACGTAACGCTTGTCACGTGCACGCGGAGAAACGAGGGTGAGAAAAATGGTGATGCGTTCGCCCAGCTTCTTCCACCATCTTCTTTCCTTTTCTATCCTCTTCTTCCAGCAACACTTCTTCGTCATTCTTCCTCTTTTCCTCTACCCCTCTCTCTTTCCCCGTACCATCATCACGATCATCGACTTCTTCTTCGATGCGATAATGCGTTTAACTTTCAAGCACGAAACATCTTACCCATCTCTTAACCGTTTGCGTTTCGCATTTTATATAAGTAACCCCGTTTCTGCTGAGTGCTGTGCTATTTAAGGATAGGAATGTACAATAATAATAATAATAATGATAATAATAATGATAATGATAATGATAAAAAGTAGAAAGAAATGAAAACGCAACACGACAAATAAAAATGTCTTGGTATTTTTTACTATGCCATTTTGTTTTACGTGCGACATCATTCCCGACATATATATATATATATTCGCTTATTTATTTATTTATATTTTAATGCGATCGTTCGAGTTAAGAATAATTAAAAATGAAAAAAAACGAAATTATATGCTTAAAATACTATGACCCTGATACATAAAATGTGCATTCGTTGGTGACTTATTTCTATTAAAAAGAAATACATATATATATAACTAATCTAAAACTATAATCTAATTAACCTTAACTTAACTACAATACAATCGAATTAAGATTTACCCCCTAATGACGGGATAAAATATTAACGTAAAGCGTGTGAGATCAGCTCGCAGGATTTTGTTCTCTCGGCGATAAAAAACGACATTGAATCTCGTGTCAAATTTCGCCCGTTTGGCCCCTTTTTTTTATGCACGAGACATTTTTCACTACATAATACATTCGTAATTTGTGCGGTGTCCTTAATCAAAAAGTATATTATTCGTGTTCTACGAAAAACTATATAAGATACAAAATACAAAATAAAAAAAGGAATGGATAAATTGAAATGAAAAAGAAAAACAAAAGAAGGAAGTAAAAAAAAGAATATAAATGACCGGACCAGGGGTAGTACTACGATACACGATATCAAATTACTTCCGCGTCCTTTGACGCATCTTGCTCACTTTAATCTTACTGGTCCTAAAAGCGTCATTTAAAGAGATGCTATCGCATGTTCGCAACAGGAAAAGAAAAAGAAAAAGAGAGAGAGAGAGAGAGAGAGAGAGAAGAACTACCAAAGGACACCCCCCTTCCCCCAATGGCTTAGCGCGTCCTGAACGAAATGAGAACTATCGCGACTACTACTACTACTACTAACCCCCTCCACCCCCACTGCTTGCTTTCTAAATTATTTGCGAAGAAGAAAATAAGTTAACGATGAAAAAGATTTAATGCGAGCCTTGCTTATGTATTTCTCTCTCTCTCTCTACCACTCTCCCCGCCTTCTTCCACCTCACCCCCTACCATCACTTCAACATTTTTATCGTCATTTCGTTCTTATTAAAAAGTCCTCGGTCTATTTATTCGATCAAATGGCCGCCGACTTTTTGACCATTGGCCCTCTACCACCGTAATTTCTTTTTCCACTCTCAAAAGGTTGTCCGTTTTTTCATACGCTAATTAAATTAACGATATAAAACTTATTTCTAATTCGGAAACTATTTTTAAAAGCAACTTTCTTCTTCTTCTCGATTGATGTGAAACGAAAGAGAAGTGAATGAAAAAAAAAAAACAAAAAAATAAATGATAAATTAATATTAGTGCTCAATGCGTTGTTATAATATCCTAGACGCGTGTTTTTGTGTGTATGTGTGCGTGTGTGTGTATATATAATCAAAATGTGCAAAGTATAACACAACGGATAGTGAATGCAACGTCGTAGATAATAAATTAGCACACAGGCGAGAGGTGTAACGCGATTTCGTTATGATGAATAAAGGATCGTGTACACAAATTATTGGCTTAAAACGTGAACGACAAGAGATGCGCTTGCTTATTTTCTAAGTGGAACGACAACGTTTTAAGATATCGTCGTCCCCGTTTTTTCGCTATAAAAAAAAAAAAAAAACAAAAAAAAAGAGCAGAAAAAATATTTTACGAGACTCGTTAAACGCTAGTATACTCTATCTATTTTTTGTTCTTTTTTTTTTTGTTTTCTCTCTTAAGATTTGTACTTGTTTGGTTAACGTCTTTTTTTTCCTTTTTTTTTTTTTAAGGTACTCCTGACTTCGATGAAAATAATAATAATAATAATAATAAAAAATATCGCGAAGAGAAACTTAGAAGAAAAAAAAAAAACCAAAGGGGGATAAAGATACAATAATTACGAATAAGAAGAAAAATACTTCTTTTTTTTAGTGTTCTTGACTCATAGCGGTAAAGTTTGCCCGTTTCATTCATGCCAGTATTAGAAACCACGACAACGGAAGTAGAAACCCGGACCAGCGGCTGACGTCATTTCCGGAAGAAACGTATCCGGCGTCACGTTGCATGGCTTCCGTACGTTCTCCTGAAACAAAAAGAAAATAATAACATCGTAGCTTGCATGCATGTATGTATATATATATATATATATATATGCATGTATGTAATAATGATACTACTCTTGACTAGGTTATTCGTACCGAACGTGTAACGTGGTACGTTCCTCTTTGCCCACCCTTGGCCGAGGACTCATTAATAAATGAGTATTTACCAAGAGAAACGAAACGAAACGAAACTAAACTAAACGAAACGAAAGGCAACGGGGAAAAGTACCAAGTTGTTTCATTTCGAACGTACTTAACTTAGTCGCGGTTAATTTAAAATTTACCACCGGCGATAAATCTCATTTAATATCACGGGGCACTAGCCGTGTAACAGAAAGGGCTGAAGCTTTGAACATCGATATCTATATCTGAAAATGTTCAAACTCTTCCGTTCTATTCTATATATATATATATATACGTTATCATTTTATCTTCATTTTCCCTCCCATTTACTTTCGCATAAAAAGAAATAAGAATGAACAAATTTTAATTTTTCTTTCGTTCTCTCTGCAAGCATTCCACCCCCACCCCTCTCTCTCTCCCCACCCCGCGTAATTATGAAAAATTTCTGAAACTTTTCTACGAATGATTCAACGACGAGCACACGATGCTACTTGATGCATAATCTAAACACCTTAAACCCCTCCACCCTCATCTCTACCCCCTACTACTACGTGCTCTTAACATTTTACATTCGAGTAATGGAATATTCTGTTTGCTTTTAAAATGTTTATCTGTTAGAAACGGATGGTGGGGGGGGGAATAAAACTAGCTTAGTTAAATGCAACTTCAAATGTTATATGACTTTTAGTAGAGTCAAGTGTAGGTACTTAAAAAGAAGAAAAAAAAAAGAAAATCGTGTCAAATAGTCTAGGAGTTAGGTTAATACATGAGGGAAAAAAGAAAAACTATTCCTCGTGTTTATACGTCAACGTAATAAACGACACGTAATAACAAAAAATAAGTATCATTCCGTTCGATTGAATTTTTATACGTTACCTTGTGTTTTCCATTTCAAACATAAAAAAAAATATCGAAAAAACACAATCGTACATTTAAACGTAAATATATTTTAATTTTATTATTAAAAAAAAAAAAAAAGAGTAGAGAGAGAGAGAAAATCTATATAGAAAGATGATCATATGCGGTTAACCTAAACCGTGTAAAAGTAATTTTGAATTTTGAAAGTGTTCAATGTATTCGAACGTTTGAGTTCAGGGTATGTGTCTAATAGGAATGACGATGGTTTGGCATTGGTAGGAAAGCCACGTCGTTACCAATACGAATAGTCCAGTCAATAGAGAGACCCACCCGAAGCTAGTGGGATAATCGCTCTTACGTGTGAATAACGGGCTTTAAAGACGTGCGCTCATGGTACCTTGTACTATGTACTATGTACTATGTATATATATGCACCGAATGAAAGAGGAAATGGAGGAAGGGCATATGATTGTCGTACGCACGAGTCAAGTGAAACACGTGCACACGCGAACGCGCGTGACGTTCGCGTGTGCATGAGTATGTGTGTGAGTGTAAAGCATGCGACGTGCCCTTCGCATTGCTAGAGTAAGCTTCGGTAAAGTGTCCGATGAATCAAATAGGAGTATAAGGGTGACGGAGAGAGAGAGAGAGAGAGAGAGAGAGGGTTAAATCCTTGAAGCACGTTCGATTTGCTACCGGCACTGGAACACGATAGTTGGACGATGCGTACCCCTATTGCTTGCGGTTTGCACAATTTAGTCCGCATTTCAAGCTACGGCAAGTCTACTTAACACTTCCAATGGAAAGCTATGCGACGAAGAATATCGTTAAATCATTCGTCCCATTAATTTTCTCTCACGATTATTCAACGATCGAATACGATCGTATGACCTTTCTCGAAGACTTATTATTAAGATCATCGACTATCTTTGTTGAATTACTATCTCTCTCTACCAATAATAATTCGAGATTTTTATTATGCTACCAGTTGTTTCTTTTTTCTTATTTCTTATACAAATTTTTATTCATTCTTTTATATGATAAAGTTATTATTGCTAAACCTATTTCACGCACGGTCAAATGATTTAAGTCCTACGTAATATTGTAAAGATGTGATAATTTGTAAAAATTTTTAGTGAAAACGCATAAAATGTAAATTATTCATTTGTAAATAAAGTAAGATATCAAATATTGTTCACTATATTCAATCGAATCTATATGAAATGTCGGTAAGTTTAGTGTTAACAACATAAAGGAGATAGAGCTTTTGGAGTTCCGAAAATCCCACACGCGATTCACTCGACAACGCTCGAGTCATCGACTCAATTTATGACTACTTTAAAGATTTTTAAATATATATATATATGTAACTACGTCTATATATATATATACATAGAGTAGAACGAAGTGCACAGTGCACAAGTTCACGAAGAGTTTAATACCTAACGGGTCCCAAGGCCATCGTTCTACCTATCTCCTGACTCAAAGTCAATTTCTCTCTTTCTCTTATAGTCTCTTCGTCTTTAACTTTCTTCCTTATTCTGTCTCTTCTACCACTATCTTCTTATACTTCTTCTTCTTCTTCTTCTTCTTCTTATGTTTCTTCCGTGATCACATAATGAAAGACGTTATTAAATTCTACCATCTCAAATAAATCAATGCAGAAAGAAAGAGGGGGGGAGAAGGAGAGAGAGAAAAGAGAACAAATTTTCTTCCACGTTTCTCATCAAGATTTGATGAGAGAGATCTTTAAACGATTTATCAACCGTTGCGACTTTCTTATTCTCCATCATTCATTCCTGACAAAATTTCATCCCGCAAAATGTGACTCGTGCACAATTAGTAATTAAATTTTTCTCTTAATAGCAGGAAGCAAATGGTAATGGTAATGGGGAGGGAGGAGAGAGGTCTAATGTTCTACGAACTAAGAAACTAACAAAAGTTATCGAATTTGAACGTTTCGAAATGAAAAGAAATTGTAAACTCGTTCTTCATATTTCTTTTGAAAGAATACGAAAAGTAAAACGAACACTCGTAAATATAAAAATCTAAACTATTTCGTTAAAATTATTATAATAATCCGATAATCATTGGAAATAAAAGAGAAGAAGAAAAAGAAAAAATGAAAAAAGAAGAGAAAGATGAAAAAATACTCCGGGGCTCGTGTTCCCTCATTAAAGACGAGAGAATACGATCGACTTTGTATTTGAATTATTTACAAAAAAAAGAAAAAGAGAAGGAAACAAAATAAACAACGAGAGAGAGAAGAGGGAAAGAAAAAGAAAACAACAACAAAAATGTGAAAAGAGTGAAAGAGTTAACTCATCGCGTTCAAACGAGTTTTCACAAACGAACGGAGAAGAATAAGGCAGAAAGAGAAATACTTTCCTTCTTCTTCTATATATATATATATCGTACGAAACGAAATTAAATAAATAAGAACAAAAGAGGCGTACGAAGGAAGGAAGGAAGAGGAAAAGGAGGAGGAGGAGGAGAAGCTTTATAAAATTGAACGGACGGACAGAGATGGGCCGGTGCTAAAGGAGTGGCAGGAGAAAAAGGGTAGAAGGAAATGATTCAGAAACGACCTCTCGCCGTTCTTCTTTTCGCGAATGATATACCCGAAGAAGTAGCCGGTCTACAAAAAGAATAAAACAAAAAAAAAAAGAAAAGAAAAGGGTATGGGTGGAAAGGAAAGTGACGGGCCAAACGGGGGGGTAAGAAGGGCCGGGGGAGAGAAAGGTAACGGGGGGGGGKGAAGGAAGAAGCGGCACTTGATTTGAGAGATAGCGAAATTAAAAGAGGGCACTGGAGAGAAAAACTTTGAACCTCTGTACCCTCGAGACTGAAGAAAGAACGAAAGAACGGGCAGCAAAAAAAGAAAGAAAGAAAGAAAGAGAGGAGAGAGAGAGAGAGAGAAGACTGGCAGGTGATGGTCGATGAAAGAAAGGAAGGGATGAAGAACCTTGGAAGCTTGGAAGGAAGGGAGGGAGGGAGGGAGGAGAGACCGATGGGACGAAGTACGAAAACTCAGTGATGTGCAATTAGGAAAATTGAATTCCAGCGTAATTAACTTTCTTAATTAATAGAATCGTGGAATTGTATCTTTCAACTGGCCGACAGAGAAGTGGTCTTGGCAGGCTGGCTCTTCCGTCATGAGAACGTAAGTGACGGGATTCCCGAGGTAGTAGCTGCGGCGGGGGAGGGAAGAAAGGAAGGCCGAGGAAAAGGTGGAAGGAAACGTCGTCGAGAGTTGCCAAGGGGTGAAAGAGGTTGGAGAGCAAATGCACTGCTGGGTGATGCTAGTGATGGTGGTGATGGTGGTGGTGGCGGCGGCGCCGGCTGCAAAAGGGCTTGCTTCCAGAGCACTAGTCGTTGTAAGTTTTGATATATGCGCGACGTTATTTACGATCGCATAAGAATTAGCTCAGACAGCCACCGAACCAAGCAAGCAGCAGCCCCCTCCCAACCTCCACATCCCTTTTACCTCCCGCCCATCACCCTCTCCTTCCCATTCTTCTCTCTCTCTCTCTCTCTCTATCTCTTTCGTTTGAAAGGTACTACTACTATTCGGGGCTTGGTTCGCAACAACAAAAAGTAGTCTTCCTGCTAGCTACTGTACTCGAATCGCCTTTTTATCGGCTTACCGAGCTCTGGTCCTATCCTAGCCAAAAATCCGCTGCTGAATCTTCTTCCCCAGGGCCCCCTCCACCCCTTTTTCCCTTACTTCCGCTTACCGCTCCGTCTCTCTCCCACCGCGCAAATGACTTCCTTTCGTCGTCGTCGTCGTAGTTCTTCTTCGATCGTATAGTTTACGATGGCAAACCACTTTTATCGCGATGCGACGTGTTTTAGTAGTCCCCGAAAGACGATAACCAAACTCGATCGAAACGGAAAGCACGGTAAACCGACGCATAAAAGATAACTGATAAACTAACCGTACTAGGTATATGAAGAGCAGACGACCGAACGTACTTTTTACTCCTTAAATCTTCGTTCCGTGAAAGAATTTGCGAACGATTTTCGATGATACTATGATTTATCCTTTTCGAAGAACCCGATACCAACCCACAACGATTCCGCGTATTTTTTTTCGCGACGAGACAAATTTAGCGATGCTGATGATTCAATCGTATATATGCATTCGTTTCGTAGGGCGGGGAAGGAAGGGAGGAGAGGGTTAATTAATTGCGAACGACGTCGCGAATCGAAAGAAAAATATACGAGAACGAGCAACTATTATTTTTTTTCTCCCTGCAATAATTTCCGAAAAAGAAATATTCACGATAATAGAGAAACGCATTCTGCAGATTCGTGCACTCTCCACTGAATTCCACCTGCATCGTTTTCTCTCACTAGCTATTTCACTCTATCCTTGTTTATGATTCCTTTTTTTTATCCAACCCTCTGTTCTACTCTTTTTCCTCTCAAAGAAACCCAAACCAGGATTCCTTCTTTTTACGGGCACGTACAACGCATTGCCTTCTTTTTTTCATCTTTATTCTTCTTCTACTTCTTCTTTTACTTCTTCTTCTTCTTCTTTTGCTCTACTTTTTCTTTCTTCCTACCCTTCCCACAAGCAACCACGTTGGCTTGCCAGCTAGCTAGGCAAATAGTTTCCGCGTGAATTATTACAACCGGCTTCTCAAAAAGTTTTAAGTGTTTCGAGTAATCCCGAGGACGACGCGTGGCGAGCTTTAGATCGGCTCGAAAGGAACGGTTGTTCTCTCCTATATATACATATACATATATATATATATATATATATACATTTTTCGATTTCACGACATACGTAAGTAGCTACGTACACGCTCGCATACGTTTCTAGAGATGCGAACATTTTTCTGCAGAAACGAACGAACGAACGAACTTTTCTACGACGATTTAAGAAATAAGCCCCGCAAGAAGCTTTCATTCTTACCTACTTTCCGCAAAAATCCCTTTTTCCAACGAATTGAAAAATATCTTTATTATATCTAACTATATGATATATTATACATATACATATATATATTTTATAACGAACCTGGTTCGACTATCAGCATTACGGTGTCCGATCTTCCTTCGGCCGGTCTGCACGAATACTTTCCTATATCATTTTCCGTTAAAGCAGCCAAAGTCAATTCGGAAACTGTTTGTGCCGCTCCTTTTTCAGTTTCCACATTTATACCACCACGAGCTGCCTGAAATAAAGAAACAAAAGAACATCCCGTTCCCTCAACTCCCACCAGGTTTTTTTACACAATGCTTCAGACGATCTTTCAATGACGAATAGGATTAATAGTTTTTTTCTTTTCATTCTTTTTCTTCTTTTTTTTTCTGTTTTTTCTTTTCGCATGTGCTGGAAAACCAGCTGCATGGGAGGAGGAGTAGCGTCGGAGCTTTCGCTACGAATGAATGACTTCGATTTTTTTTCTATGCGAAATCGAAAAAAAGACAAAAAAAAATGGTATATAAAAAGAGAAAGGGGAAAAAAAGAACAAAAAATAGAACGCTTCGATAGAATCGGCCGCGAAATCGTTATTACACTTCGACGTTCATGAGCAGTTCGAAACGTACTCACCGATTCCCTCTCCTCTCCCCACACACACACCCCACACTCATCTCTTCCAGCTAGATGAAAAACTCGAACGAGAAAGGACAGTGTTGAATCTAGAAAAATTCATCATTCCGCGTATGTCTACCAACGCGAAAAAGGGGGATGAACGATGTGCGAGTCGTGGAATGATCGAACACGGTCGGCGGGCGTGAGGTGAGGTGAGGAGTGGAAACGTAAACGAAAAATTCACAAAAGACAGTTGGGCGAGAAAAAGAAAAGAAAAAAAAAGAAAAATAAAAAGAAAAGAAGTTGAAGAATAAGAAGAAGGAAAGAAAACGCGTGACCCACATTCGCAATAATGATTTACGAGCATTCTCGCTTTACCCTGGGTGCTGCTGTTGCTGCTGCTGCTGCTGTCTAGCGACAGGATTTTTTTTCCTAATACCGATAAAAGCATCAAAACCGAAATTTCATTAAAGAGCAGTAGCAGTAGCAGCAGCAGCAGCAGCACGTCGTCTATCCGTGCCGATAAAATTTGGAACGTGCTGAGAGCACCGACATTACCTGGAATGTTAGGAGTTTGTTATCCCGAAGCCATTGTACACCCCTGATGGGACGAGTCTGATATGGAGACGATATGACGCATCTTAGGGTGATCGTCGACCCCGATGGCACCCTTTGCTCCCTAGGACCCATTATAGCCGCCACTGGTGCCGTACTTTCGTAACCTGAAAGTCATGTTCCAACAAATATCATACGTCACTCAGGAAAATTCGATGACCCTTTCTATCTATCTATCTATCTATCTATCTATCTTCCTTTCTTTCTTTCTTTCTTTCACCCATGTATTCGTATCGAAACTTTAACCTGTTACAACTGTCGTTCAATCTTATGTGAAATATAACTTATGGATTTTTGATAGATATAATTATGAAAATGAATTCGATTTAAAAATGGAAAGAAGTAAAGGAAGGAAGGAAGGAAGGAAGGAAAGAGAGAGTAAACTCAATTTATGGTAAAAGGTAAGTAAAAGTAGATAATACTAACAATAATTCTACTCGCTAAGAGATACTACATATATATATATATATATATATGTCTTTTTCTTCTTCTCATGCTAATGCATCACCACGTTACTACTTGCTCGTTCGTCTTTCTTCTCCTTGTAACATAATTCTTTGTAGCAAGGAGTCGTTCCCGTTTAATGGCGAGTCTTCTCAATGAGAATAACGTTCCAAAAATCTTTCCTTAAGTTTCATTTAGATTAAACATTAATCTCTTTCGACTATTTCGAATAAAGTATTTGAATCGATTTCGATCGACGTTTATGTAACGATTGAATTTTTTATTCGAATGGAACTCGCGTTAGAGTCGAGATAATTAAATACTTGCTAATACTTTAATTGGAGCAATTGATAAAAACAATGTCACGTAGGATCGTTAAAATATAAAGAGACTAATGAGATCATTTAATTTCAGTTTAATACTCTCCTTTTGTAGAATTTTATTTAAATGATTTATATATTAATAAAAATAATTGTCAATCTAATAAATAATTATATTTAATTAGATAATTATATGATTAAATAAACAAATATTATCTTGAAATTATGATTAACGTTTTAAAAACAGTTTGGTATAAAGAAATATAGTTAATTAGAATTGAATAACTTTTCATTAATGTAAATAATATTCCAATTGTGGAATATTAAAAAAACGTTTTAAACGCGTATGAATTATTTCCATCAATTGTCTCAATCAAATTACGTGCGTATACGATAATGAATAAATAAAAGAATATAAAAGAGAAAAAGAAATCTAAATATTATTTCGATTAATACTACAGAGAATAAATGTGCAAAGCGCTAAGAAAGAATATTATTAAAAATATAAAAAAGATATATATGCTCGCGGTAGCTTCGTACGAAAAAAAGAAAAAAGAAAAAAAAAGCAAATACGAAACACTGACATCGTAGTCGCAACGAAGAAATATTAAGCATGATATTTTATTACATGAAATAAAAAGAAAAAAAAATGGAAAGAAAAAATGTAAAAAGTCAGATTGCAAAGAAACGAAGAAGGAAATGCATTCCTCTGTTAGATAAAATCCAAGAAATGCGTATAGAATGAACAAAAATTCATTTACTTCTCTACCCTGCGTACCTCCCTCTTCTTTTTCCATTACAGACAGATAAACAAAAGATTATACTTAAGTAGACTTCATAAATATATACATATATATAAATATCTAAAAAAAAAAGAGGAAACGAAAGAGAAATAACAAAGTCGTCACTATGAAATAAGTAGAAGGTATATAATGGATAAAAAAAAAAAAAACAAAAAACGTCTACTTTCTTGACAACTTTCCTTAAACCTACCCTTTCGAATGAATATCTTTCTTTAAAAATAACAATGAGTCAGCAGCGTCGGGGGTGTCTTTTCTATCTACGTGCGTACCTACCAAAGCATTGTTAGCTTATACTCACTCTCTCGGAAAGAATAGCAAAAAAAAAAGAAAAAAAAGAAAAAAGAAAATACAAGCTCCGCTTTTTTTCTTTCGCGTTTCTCTCTTTTCTCGCACTTTATTTTTACCCATAGTAACAGTAGTAGCAATGGGTAGTAACAATGATAATAATAGTAATGGGTAGTAGTAGTAATAATAGTAATAGTAGTAGTAGTAGTAGTAAGTTTGTCTTTCCGGATGATTTCCCATGGAAACGTAATTAGTGATTCCCCCTTCCCCCCCCCCCCAAACCCTCGCCCCGTATGTTCTCACACGATTTCCGTTTTCTGTTCGTCGTATTAATATTACAACTATCCCATCAAAATCACAGATCCCACTGGTGGTTCGGCATTTACGTATAAAACTCGTTAGAAAGTTTCAAATTCATCGATCGTATAATTTCGAGTTTAGAATGTTCAGACGTTAAGGATATACCTCTTTCTGTCTTTTTTTTATGTGTGTGTGTGTGTGCACCAACGGACGATCGAAATTCACTTGGATAACTTCCAAAGATAGTAAGTCTCTCGTAGTTTTGAATTCAATCAACGAACGGACATTTTTTGATATCTCTCACTGAGAACTTTATTCTAAAGAAAAAGAAGAGCACTTTGAAACAAAACAACAATGAAAAAAAATGAACCAAATCCGAGGATAGGTCGAGATTATTATAAGGTTTTGTATAATCTGCATTTCGTTTCGTTACGTTACGTTACGTTTACGTTTGGGTGGATTTTCCTCTTGTATCCGTCTTTTTCTTAAATTAATTAGTCAGTCGAAAAGAAAAGAAAAGAAAAGAACCTTTGGCTCCGTGTTAACGTTCGACGAATAATTCGATAAATATTTAAAAGCTCTTTTATTAAAAACTTTTCTCTTACCTTTTCGAGAATATCATTATTTAAAACCGGACTACTACTACTACTACTATTACTACTACTACTACTACTACTAACACTATATCTTTATAAATCGTTACAGAGAACGGATGACATTATTTCATCTTACCGAGAGAGGAATCGTAATCTCAATTCATTTAACCGAAAAGACATTTTCTCACGACGTCTCGTCGGCATATTAAAACGCGACCTACTTAAACTCACAGTTCGTGGACTCGAGACTTGAGAAGATATCTTTCCTACAAATTTGAGTTTGAAGTGCGAACAAACAAGGACGACGAGTTGCTGCTCCTCGTCGACGACGACGACGACGACGACAACAGGAGAAAAAGAAAAATAAAAAGAGAGAGAGAGAGAGTGTCGAGGAAAGGTACCTCCTTCTCGGTACTACGCGGTGCTGTAATAATTCATTAGTGTTCGTGAGAAAAACAATGGACGGGAGAAGTGCCAGTTAGATGGAAAAAAAAAAAGAAAAAGAAAAAATGAGAGAGAGAGAGAGAGAGCGAGGAGAAAGAAAGAAAGGGTCAAACAGAAAGAAACACAGAAGAAGATGATAAACGCCGAGTCCTATGATATTACTTGCATGATAATGTCAGGGATACGCATACATTACTCGAGAAAAAGAACTTAGCCAAAGACTAATTTAACGTAGGTGCACTCTTTTCTTGTCCCTTGATAACTCCGATGAGCCCTGTTGGTTGACTGCGAAGAACCAACGAGAGAAGAAGGATGGTAAGAGAGAGAGAGAGAGGGGAAAAGGGAAAAAGTGAGAGGAGATAGAGAGACCGTCGGTAAGGGCAGTACCGCAGGACTAGAGGGATTAAGGATAATCCTATTAGACTTAAATTAATCCCACAGGAACTGCATTTCACCTGGCGAAATATTACTTTATGCCGTTATTACTGTACCCCCCCCCTCTTCCCCCGTAGGTGTATGCTTACGCTATTTATTGTCTTTCTCTTTACCTTTCCTACCTACTTACAAATAAATATATATATATATTTATATCTATATATGTGTATATGTATGTATCAAATTATATAATTCAGTTAAATCATGGAAATCTGAAATTTTGCTAGAAATATTTAAACATTTTTTTGAATAAGTAAAGAATTTATTATTATAAATTTAATACCAGAGTATAGTTTTTAAGAAAAATTATACGATGTTATGTTTTGTTATGTTAATGTTTCAAGAATATTTTAATACGTCGATACATTCGTAATATCAGTCGCATAAGAAACTTTCATCGTGATCTATAATATTATTCTTATCTTATATTTATATTGCCATTCTCTATTCTATAAATATCATCAGGCTCGTCATTTAAGAAACGAGACGTTCGCCTCTTTTTTTTTTGTTTTTTTCAACTTCGATATCATTAAATTTTCTATCTTTTTTTATACGATACGAATATAAAATCCCATTCGCGAAGGACGATGAAATAAATCAGCAACGCGATATAAAAATAATTCACGTCATCTCATCGGAGAGATATTATAAAATTTATAAAATAAAAAAAGAAAAAAAAAGAAGAAGAATAAAAAACCGCTGACCACGCAAAACTTCTCTATTATTCGCAACTTTTTTTTTTATCATGAAAGAATAAAAAAGAAAGAAAAAGTCTCTATTTTTCTGTTAGCTCGAACTTTTTTCGTGTCTCCTTCCTTTTTTTTTTTTTGTCATATCACGTAGGATCAAAAACTTGTCAGACACGTAAGTAAACAATAACTGGAAATAACTTGTGACCTTTTAACGATATTTTACTCATTCTTCTCGCGGTCAAATAGAAAAAAAAAAAAAAAAAATACACGGTGACATAAAAAATTAGATAAGTTTGCGTGAATATTTGATTGTCTTTTTCTTACTGCAATAATAATCGGAGAAAATATAGGATACCGTGTGTAAACGGGGAACGATTTCTTCAGGCAACCAACCAACCAACCCTCCGTCAAGTAATAATGAAAAAAAAACGTTAGAAACGAGAACGGGAGTGGTAGCGATGGTGGTGTAAAGAGAAAAATCGACGTAGTAACATTGGTCGCGCGTTAAAGCCGGAAAAGTGACGCACTTACCCTTAAGTGATTGATGTTCGTGACGTCGAACGAAGAATAAAAGGAACCAAAGTAGATGAGTTTTTAACGTGCAAACGAAGTATAAGATGATCGGTACGTTGTTATCAATATAACGAGAATATATGGGAAAGAATTAATATGATTTATGAAAGAATTATATCCAACCAAATTCAACTTATTTTTTTTTTTGTTCTTTTTGAATAGCTTTCAAAATGAAAACGATTAATAATATTAGAAAATTTTAATTCTCTTTGACGATATAATAATAATAATAATAATAATAATAATAATAATAATAATAATAATAATAATATCATTGTTATTCTTATTTGTGTTTTGTCTCTCGATGCAANTAATAATAATAATAATAATAATAATAATAATAATAATAATAATAATAATATCATTGTTATTCTTATTTGTGTTTTGTCTCTCGATGCAATTTTGACTAACACATTAATTATTGTTATAAATATAATTGTTATTATTATTATTAATATATTATTACTATTATTATCATTATTAAAGACAATTGCACATAGGTCTAATGCTATTACGAAAATGCAATTATTTGCCATTACAGATATTCAATAATCCCGTGTAAAATTTGAATACATTCCTCTTATGTTTCTAATTAGAACGTTCAGGTAACGTTGGCGTTTCGCCTATATACAGACATACGTCTCTGACGTTCATCGTTCGGTACACGAAATGCACGTATATAGCGATAAAGTTCCGAATAATACGCCAGCTAGGAGGATTTCATGGGCAATTACAGCGAATGACAGAAATATTGCTGTTTGCTGGCCGAAACTTTGTCACCGTCTACGTAGTGATAAACAGGAAAGCATACGCGATTCGCGCGTATACAGATACATATATGCGCACGTATTCGTGTTAACCTGTGTTCTTTATCCGAAATCGGAGGAGAAAACATTTTCCAAATGCATTTTGTCGTAGGAAAAATCGGCAAAAGTGAAAAAGCGTTTCCCCATACGTTGCATATAAATTTTCTTGAAAAATTCTATTCTTCGCGCGTCACTTAATTACTAAGAAATCAATGTACTATACTACACAACAACGTTTATTTTGTTGTTGTTGTTGGTTTTTTTTTTTCTTTTTTTAAATATTTGTCACAGAGTTATTCCACGAATAAAAAGTTTTTAATTTAATTACCACCCAACGCGTACGAAGAATATACCGTCTGATTGTGAGTACGCGCATACCATTGTATATCAAACGCAAACAGAAAAATACGAAATAAATAAAAAAAAAAAAAAAAAAAAAACAAACAAATAAAGGGAAAGAAATACACGAAAACATTTCTAACGATAGAGTTGAGCTTAAATCTTAAAAATAATCGACAGAGGAAAACTCTCTCTCTCTCTCTTTCTTTCTTTCTTTTTGAAGTTCTGATCTAGCTTTTATATCTTTTTATATTTATTTCGAACTACGTGCAGTCAGAATTTATAAAATAAATGAATGATCGGACAAGCAAGAGAAAAAGAGATCTGAAAAATAGAAAAGCAAATCCTATCTTCGATATTTCAAACAAATAATATAACTTCGTTCTTTCTTTCTCTTTTTCTCGTATCCTACATATCGTATATCATGAATGTCTCGACATAGAGAAACACGTTCTGAATCCACCTACGTATATATATATATATATACGCATGTAACATCAAAGTGTTCATAACGAAATATTAAAATATCTATATTACGTATACATTTAAATACTGCATCGATATAAATCCTATATGAAAGAAAAAGTGTACAATATAACGGAGATACTTGTAATATTTTAATATTCAATTTATTTTAATCCTAGATATTATATTTCGTTTGACAATAGTACGATAATACGAACGATATTGATTTACGTATTACACGAAACAGGTATTTTGTATCGTATTGTAATATTCGAGCTAAATTTTAGACTGACTGACTGACTCATTTGAAAATCAAACTAACGTTTACGACTTATCGCTTGAATTAGCTAGAAATACTTTACCAAGCACATTCAGCAAACAAGTGAATCGCTTATATTTGCTATACGCTTGAACGTAGCGTTGACACGTAGGATGGTAAAGGGTATGTATAGTTTCGAAAAGGGAAACCCTATTGTAAGGTAGGGATGCGTTACGTTTGCACGGCCATTAAAAGCTATCTTCGTTTACGATCTGTTATATATCTCGTGCGTGTAATGTGTACTTACTTATGCGTGTTTGTTGAGAACGGGGTTCGTCGTAACCCTCTGGTTTATCTGCCTCTGAAAACACGAAAGCATTTATTGGATCACGTAATTGCGCCTAACGTCAAAAGCTCGTTAAATTGAAATATTTAAGACGTTTCTCTCATTCCACATGATATTCTAAAATAAAATAACAGTCAAATAAAATCTAGACGACGTGTTAATTAATGAGAAAACAAAACGATATTTTGTATGTAATCGAAAAAAACTACCCACCTCTCACCGATAACTGAACGGCGTACATGATTTTCGGTTCTGTGTTAACTTGACATTCGTATATACCCGAATCCGTCTTTTTAACGTTATCCAACCTGAGGGTCCAAGCGTCGCTCCCAGGAGTATGTTGAGGATTGAACCTCGTATCGCTACTGAAAGCTACGGTACCTGCTGTGAGTATATGAAGGTCTCTGATTCTCATCCAAGACACCTGTAAACAAACACACCGAGAAGTAGGTCAGTATGACATGTTTTTTCGTAGTTTACGGTTATTGATCCGCAAAAATAACATGCAAACTCCGATTTCTTGACTCTCTCTCTCTCTCTCTCTCTCTCTCTCTCTCTCTCTCTAACTAACTATTCTTTTTTTAAAAGTATTAAACAAATGCAGGAATATCTTTTTCAAATATTTACCTTTTATCGAGTTTCAAATATCTCTCTCTCTTTCTTTTTCGTTGAAATAAATATTAGCGAATGAACAAAGAAGAAAAATATTTGAGATGAATCGAAGCAACAGAAAAAAAAAGAATGTTATCCGATGTGTGTGTGTGTGTGTGTGTGTGTGTGAGAATATGGTTAGTAAACAGTACGTAGGCTTATCGGATCCTCGTATTTTTCGCTACTCGACCAGGCAAACGTTCGGATATTAGATATCCGGTTATCAGCCGGCAGTCATTTCCGGCCTATATCCAGTTACTATTTTCCCATTGGCCATTCGACGGTGGAACTGTCTCTGGTTTCATCGAGGTACCTACGCTCGAAAATAAATGTATCCTACCCGATGATTTGCTGCACCAACCGAATATCGAAAGAACTTATCAAGCCCTGTTACTGTTACTGTTACTGCTACTACTACTACTACTACGATTCTAGGTGCACCCAGAAAAATGGAAAAAGCTAAATCACGAAAAAAGCCGCCGTCGAGTTTTCCTCCTCTTGCTCCGCTACCACCCCCTCCTCCGTTACGAACCCCCGACGACGACGAGGATGAGGACGAGGACGAAGACGAGGACGACCGATGCTACACCGAGTAACGATTTTTAATAATGTTGCGAAAAGCCGCGCGAATGGATCCCGAGAGTCGAACGAACTGTGAGATCGAGAAAAAGAGAGTGTGAGAGAGAGAGAGAGAGAGAAAAAGAGAGAGAAAGTAATAATCTCCGCAACAAAAAAAGAAGAGGATCTCACCGACCTAGCAGAGTATACCCCGATCTCGAATCGAATATACACATATACATGCCACCATATATATATATGCATACATACATATACTATATACTAAACCAATCGAATGTAAAAGTCGAAATATATTACGAATATTAAAGCTACCCCTCGTTCTGATGAGATTATCGATATAGTCCTACTACCCCCCATCCCGTTTCCTCGTATACCTCGTGAAAACTTTCGACTTTTGTTATAGAATAAGAATAGAAAAAAAGAAAAAAAAAGAAATGAAAGAGATTCGTTAAATAAAATATACCTATACGGAAAGATGGGATGATATACCTACCTACTTACCTACCCATGAAAGAAAACAAAAAACAAAACGAGACAAAACAAAAGAGAAAAAAATAAATAAAATACAAGAAAAAAAAGAAGAAGAAGAAAATTAGGGAATTTTCGCGAAAAGTATTGGAACTATACGTAGGAGGCTTTTGGTCGAGCGCCAGTGTAACCCCTAATATACGCCGAATGACCCCCGAAATACAGAGAAAAATCGGCTTTTGAGATCGTAGCAAAAGTCGAGAAGAAGAAAGTGCTTGTGAAGAGGGCAAACCAGTCGGAAGAAGGGAAATACGAGAAAGGTGGAGCCGTGGCGGCCCTCTCGACTCTCTTTCGTACTTACTTACTCGTCGTGTGCCGTCGTGCTTGCTCTAGAAGACTTCGAAGGAACAGAGGAGAAGAAAGAAAGAAAGAAAGAAAGAAAGAAAGGAAGAAAAAGATACGACGACGACTACTTGGGCAAGACGAGGGAGACAAAGGAGGGCAATACGGAGTCGGCATAACCGCTTTCATCTGCTACGTCGGCACAGACCGGAGGAATAAAAATGCGACTTCTTTCCAGTCGCTTCGTCGTTTCCATTCCCCTACTTCCACCCTTAACTCTTATAACACTACTACCAACTACCAGCACCAACACACCAATGGCATCTATACCATCTTATAAAGTCTCTCTCTCTCTTTGTCTTGCAAACCATCGCGTTCCACCAAAATGGCAACTTATACGAGAAGCTTCTTTCTCTCTCTTTCTCTCTCTCTCCCTCTCTCTGTCTTTGTCTCTTTCTCACGTTCATTCCCCTATATCTCTGTTCCCACCTACTTTCCTTTCTAAAGTCTCTGTGTAAGTACGTGTAACAAGAAAAATCGAGACCACCTATGACAAGGCTAGTAACCCGAGCTAGCAACGCGTAAATTAGGCGTTCAACCGAGGGGGGGGGGTGGTTTCGTGCAATTTTTGAACTCGTTCCGTTGCACCGAGAATTTCTTCCTGGACACTGGTCAGACCGCAAAAGTGATCCTCTACTTTAGTTTCCTTCTTTCTCTTCTTTTGTAAACGAAAGAGAGAGAGAGAGAGAGGGAGGGTGTGTAGGTTTGTAACTCCGTGTGTTTGAACATCCCCCCTTCTCCCTCTGCCCCATCGTCGTCTCTTTTCTTACGTTCATTGTGTTCCGGTAAACAAGCTTCCACGCAATATAGAATTTTTCCTCGGCTAGTTCTTATCGGTGTTTTCTCGTTTACCTTCTCTCCCTCTCTCTCTCTCTCTCTCACTTAGTTATTTCCGAGTTACTTCTATTCTACTTTACTACTAGAAAAGACACAGAATTTTGTGTAGTTGATTTTCTTGTTCCGTACAATTTGTAATTTCGCGAAATTGCTCGTGTCGGTCGTAACATCTCCTCTGCTATTTGAAATTGCATCAAGTATAATTGCGTGTAACTCGGCTTTGTCGCGTTTATCAGTCTATTCTATTTTGAATGAAGCAAATTTCTCTTTCTCTCTCTCTCTCTCTCTCTCTCCCTCTCTCTCTCTCTCTCTCTCTCTCTATTGCAACATCAACTATAATACGCTACAACACAGAGAGAACTTTGATCGAGTAACAAACGGAAGAGCTTCGTGAGAGATTCCTTGAACATTATTAAAATCCATCGCGTTTACTTTCTCATCTCTGCCATTTCGAGCAAGCAGATTTGACAATTCTGGTTTGACAATTCCCAGCGCACGCTTATGTGCTCTTTCAAGCGTGCCACTGGAAAAGGGCAAGAAAATTTCTCGATGAATTAAGGGAAGAAGCTCCCGTTTTCTACTTCCAATGATGAAAGCTTTATATAGGAAGTAGAATAAGTGGAAGAAAGGAGAAAGAGAGAAGAAATACAAGCTTCTATCTAACCCCCTCCCCCCTTCTCTCAGAGAAGAAGAAGAAGAAGAAGATCAAATCCACGATGGGTGTACTATCAAATCAATGTTCTTCTCTACAGTTTAACTATTTACTCCTACTCCTTTTCCATGAGAATCGTACAATTCACTTGCGGAGATCTTTTTGCGACAAATCTTATGTTCATTTTAATTACTCCTATGTCAAAGAATAAAATGTGTCTTATTCGTAAAGGAGAACTAAAATTTCTTACAAATGTTTACTACATTTGCGAACATTGATATTTATAATAAATCAACAGAGTATATATATTATACATTTCTTCATGTTTTATAAGTTTTGTATATAACATTTTTCTATATTATATGAAATAACAGAAATATTTAATGCGTTAATATTTGGTGGACCACCTTATATATATATATATATGTAGTATATAATATGTGTACGTGATATTTTTAAAAGAAAAAAAATTCGATAAAATTACATCGCAATTATAGATACTTCAATTTGTTGGCTTAATTTATCATATCTATTGTAACGTTATATTCAATTCGCAAAAGTACAGGTAAGTATACGTTCTGTAAAAATTTGTCAATTCACGAAAGTAAGTACTTCGATTAAAGCTTTGCGATTTGTACCTTGTTTTAAAGTGGCACCACTTCCATAGAATTCATTTACCGAAACGAACGTTTTCACCGTCCGGTTTTTTTTAATCCGATTTCATTTATCGGAAAAAGTCGAAACCCCTCGTAGGGAAAGGGTAACAGAAAAATTCCCTTCGAATAAAGCAACGAATGACACCGGCCGGTGTCTCTTTTGAAGCCGATTATGAGAACAGAAGGTAAAGTGTATCATACATTTTCAAATTTTTAACGTGTAGCGAAAAGTTTCCAACTATAACACTATTTTTTGATAATTCAATGTAATTTATTATCGTATGATCAAACGTGTAAAAGATAAATAACAATATATGGTACATTACGTTTTTATATATCAATAATGAAATAAATTTCATGATCATTGTTTAGTTACATAAGAAAATAATCTTCGTTGGGAGAAAACAAAAATTCACGTATAAAGTTTTAATTATAAAATAAAAGTCAAAATTTGGACAATATTATTTGGAATAGGATCATGGGATAAAGACTTATATCTAATCTCATCTAACCAACACAAATCAGAAGACCAACAACAGCCGGTGGGTCAGCGAGCTTTTATCGATTACCTTTATTGCATTACACGTTGTCTGTTCGTGACAGTAATGCCATTCGATTAACCATATGCTTCTGACTCCTGGGCGTAAATTAAAATAAGGCTTGGTGGTCGTTCTTCATTTGCTCGTTGCCCGTATAATAAACAAGCAAATGAGAAATAAGAGAATATTAAATTTTAACACTGATCCAAATTAATCCTTCTATTTATTTCTATAAAACGTATCGCGTATTAAATAGTTTAATATTGTTTTCATTAAAGGATCCAATAATTTTGCATTGCGATATGTGGTTTAATATAAATAAAAAGAAGATAAAAGAAAAAAAAAAAAGAAAAAACATAGAATATTATCGTAGCGAATTTCCACGGAAATGATTTATCGACCATTTCGACTCTCTCGAATCAATAACTGACTTCGAATGATTCACGATGCACAACAAATCTATTTTATATTGTTATCGTATCGGATTCGAGAGTTTACTTAAAATAAGTTACGAATATGTATTTAGAGAACGTGCTTGTTTCTCCGTTGGAAGTATTAGCAACATACACAAATACACACACAAACACACACGCACACGCACACGTTACGCCACTTACTATCACAATGAAGACATGGTAGT